AATCCTGATCAAAAGGGAGGAGAAATACAGAAAAGAACTTTGAATTCTCACAGACTCCGCTCTCAGGAGACATGGAGGTAGCTGAGCCCGAGACTATTTTGCCTGAGACAACCCTGCACAAAAACATGTCCTGAGTGCCTTCTTAAAACCTAGCAGTTCAAGGTTAACTAACACAAAAACAAGTCTGCCTTGAGCAGTCTGCTCATTTCAGACCTAGCTAGGACCCGAGTGACAGCACAGATAGGGACCTTAGAGAGAACAGTGGGTCTATGGTCAGAACTCAGCAGAGGGGAAGAAAGGCCGCACAGCTCAAAGCCTGTCCTCCAGGTCACCAAATTGGACAGGAAGAAACAGGTGTTTTGTTGTACATATTCCCAACAAAATAAAAAATTTAAGGACGTGCTTTGAATGATAACCAGCATACAGTAAGCAATGTTGTTTAAAAAAAAAGTTTCAAGTCCCACTACTTCCCCCGACATTTCTCAGCTGTGTTTTGAAACAATTTCAACAGGAAGCTGCAACAAGGGGAGGGAGGGGGAGGCGACAGAAGTGTTCCAGCAGGCATGGGGAAAGCAGGTGGCCCAACCAATGCGCGGTGTGCATCTTTCACCTTAAAATCACATATACTAAAACCTCAAGCTTTGTTCCAGCAAACTCTGTTTTCTAAGTTGATGCTTTATGCGGAATAAATGATACAGATGCCATTTCCCCCCCAACAGTCTGGACCCAGGTTTTATATCTCCCTAGCACTGTGCATTGCCATTTCCCCCACAACAGTCTGGACCCAGGTTTTATATCTCCCTAGCACTGTGCATACTAGCACCCCCACCCTCCCGAAAAAAGCAAAAACATTGTCATTGAGTTGATTTTGACTTTAAGGGCCCACGTGAACCACTGACACCATCAGGGCTCCTACAAGGTCCTGGGGAGGAAAGTTTGGGTGGCACTTGTCGGACTCAGTAGACAGGTCTCATTGGTAGGGGTAAGAGACAGCTTCACCTTGAGAGTCTAACCTTAAAGAAAGGTCAAGGCCCCAGGGAAGACCAAACATGGGGTCCAGGCCTTGGGACAAACACAAGTTCCCCCAATTGGCCAGCTTTCTTTCCATAAAGTCCACACACCTTTTCTCTCTCCCAAGGATGAAGGATTCATACACCCTTGACTCCACTTCCAACCAATGCCATGGTCTTCATCTTCCTTCAGCAGGATGAGAACAGCTGAAAGTGCCTACTCTATCTTAATGTACCGAACGTCATCCCTTCGGGCAACATCTGACCGCATCTATGCTCAATGTTTTAAGAGCTGAAAGTGTTTAGAAATTCTGATCAGAGACCAGCACGTAGCAATCGTACCAAGGCACATCCATTACAAGAGCTTCCTACACGGAACACACACACCTCATGTTGTGTATACAAAGTAACTGCACTGGCCAGGCACACCAGAGTCCACCAAACACAATCCCACAGCACTGGGGTCAGTCCCGACTCATAGCAGATGCGCCCCACAGGGTTCCCAAGATCGTACATCTTTATGGAAGCAGACCTCCGCATCTCTCTCTTGCAGGGGAGCTGCTGGGTTCTAACTCCCAAGCTTTAGGAAATCATACGAGGACGGAAGTCACTGCACCTCCAGAGCTCATTCTGTCCACTGGTACAGTACACTCACCACCTATAACCCGGTCATCATCACAGCAGGGTCATAATAAACGGCCTATGCTACCAGCCTCCTGTGACCATGCTGTGAGGTGACCGGTGCCACCTGTGTGTGTCACCAAGTTAACTGTGTGCCTATGACACACGTGCATCAGCTTTCCATCTCTTGCATTGCCGGTCCAGTGGCGTGCTACCCATTTTTCCTTCCAAAACACAACCATAACATGATCACGGCTCCTAAACCAGCGGAACCACTGCTCGAGACAGCAGAGCAGGAAGGAGCAGTATTGATCTGGAAGTGAAACAGCAGGGTTACTGAACAGCACGGAGGTGGGAAAATCTGTGAATGCGATCACTCACACTCAACGACCACGCTCCTCAAACCTGAAGGCAAACATGCTCTACTAAACAGCTACAAGGCTAACAAAAAATGCTATCGGGACATGCATCAGATGGAGAAATGGCCAGGTGACAAAGATTAAGTACCAAGAGGGAGAGGAAAAAATGAGGAGCTGATGCCAGGGGCTTAGGTGGAGAACAAATGTGCTTTACACAACTGATGTATGTATGGATTCTGATAAGAGTTGTATGAGCCCCTAATAAAATGCTTAAAAAAAGATTAGGGACCAAACCCAAGAACGAATCTCTCTCAGCATGTTGAAGATCACTAAGGCAGGAGGCTTCTTCGAGATGCTTAAAGCTAAGACAGGACCAGACTACAGTAAGGCATCCACACAACGTCCAAAGCACCTAACATACTACTACAGACAGCATGTCATAGACAACTGAGACCTACCTGTAAAGATGAAATGTATTAGAACCTCACGCTGCTGTGAGGTGCAAGTAAAAATTAGTTATCTGTCATGTCCGATACATGTACCCATTATTACTCTCCAACATTCAATCAGAAATTCCCTATGTGCCCTGGGATTACTTGAAGGTTTTGAGCTCTGAGTGACCCAGACCCCAGGCCAGGAAGTCTAATCTCAAAGGTTTTTAAGGCCTTGGCACTGGTGTTTTTGACAAACTCCAGTAGGTGTGAGAGCACCACTGAGCTGAAGGGGGTCAGGGCTATGGCTCCCCCTCAGCAGGACACGGGGCCATCTCACCCCAAGCTCTTCTATGCCCTTCCCGCCTGCACTGACCAGTGGCTTGGCCACCCTCGGGACACTCACTCGGCCTGAGGTCCCTGGAGAACAGCAGTTCGGGCCCACCCCCATCTCAGTGGAAGAAAGGCCCGGCAATCTCATTCCCTAACAATTAATTGCCGTCATCAAGTGGATTACCACCCCTAGTGACCCTGAATAGATGTCTCGGGATTTCCAAGGCTATCATCTCTCCAGAAACCGTCTATCACATTTTTTTCCGTGGAACAAGGGGCGGATTCGAACCACAGACCTTCTGGGCCCTCGATTATCAAGAAAACCCAAGAGGGCAGCCCCTCAATGGTGGATGGCGCTTTGTCATCAGTGGTAGCGGCACCGGGAAGAATAGTCGGGGCACTGAGCTTGGATGAATCAACAGGGACAATCCACTTTTCTTAAGTCACAGGCTGGCCTTCAGAGAGCTTTTAATGTGGCTTTTACATGTACGCCAAACTTTTCCTGACCTACTTGCATTAGAATTCCCCTTTCAGGGTAAATTGCCCACTCTATGGAAATAAATCTACCTATCCAGAGAGTGTCATTATTAAATCAAACTGTACATGAATAAAATATCAAACGCATTGAAAGCTATAATTTTAGAACAGTGGCTTGGCTTTTCACTTAAGCATTCTGTCTACAGTTTAGATGGCAGCTTTCAGACTTAAGCTAGAAGCATCTTCTTGACCACCTAGCCTTTGGGGAGTGGAGAAAACGTGCGGAGTTTTCAAATAAGAAGTTAAAAAGGTGTGTGTGTGTGGGGGGGGACCACAAAACACATAGACTCAGATGCTAAGGTTTGGATCCAGTGACTCCACTACGGGTCCCCTGCACACAGGTGGCACAGGAGGGGGTTCAAAATGCTCATGGAAAAATGTTATTTAAAGGACCAGGGGAAATGTCCCCTCATCTTGTACGTGCTCACTAAATTGATTCTATGAACAGCCTTGCTTGTCTGTGTTTTTACCAAATCAGCCTAAAGGAGCCAGGCTACAAACCCCTAACAGGGAAATAAACCGAAACCACGGCGGCAGGGCAGAAAGGCCCTGAGTTTCCTAGACGGCAGCTCTTCACAGGAGCGGAAAGCCCGTCCTTCTCCCACAGGGACAGAAGGTTGCAGTGATTCACACCACCCACCCACCCACCCCTCTCAGGAGTACAACCGGCAGTGTCAGATAGTTCCTTTCGGGTGGAGTGATTTCTCTGGGATTCCCTCAAGAAATATGAGGGGCCTTCAGAAAGTTCACAGAAAGGTGGAATTAGAATAGAATTTTCCCACCAACCTTCTGCAGCACTGCTCCCCCACCCCCACCCCCCCACCCCCGAGAGCTCATTTGGAGTCCTATGGAACCTGGGGCACGCTTAAGCCCATCTCTGCTGTCTAGTGAGGACACCGGGCAACACTCCACTCTGTGCAGACAGCTAACTCAGATCTGCAGGCAAAATACTTCCCCAGGCTGAACCACCCCAATGCTAGGGAGTGGAGGGGACTCGTCTCATGCCTGTTGACTGGCTAGAGGTAGGGCCAGCAGATGGGCTCGGATGGACATCAGCTCTCACAGACAAGACCCCCTTGTCACCCCGTCACTAGCTTCCTCACAGGGCCCCTCAATACAACCCTGAGAACTGCCAATGCTGAAAGGCCACTGGAAACCCATCAACCTCTCCTCTCTTCCCACCCACCCGCCGCCCTCTGAGCCTCTCTAATCCACTCCTTGGTCACTTCGGCCAAGGGGAGTTTGCCCCCTGCCCACCCGCCCACCCTCTCGGAGGAACGCCACACACAGCACTGGGACCAAATACCACTAACCATCAACCAGTTGTACTCCAGAAAGCAGCAAGTGCATGTAGTCAGCCTCAGTGCAAATGTTCTCTCTGCCTTAGTGCACGGATCCGAAAAATAAGCAATCCACAAGCTGTCAGCAAGCAGAGGAAGCGGAGACCCCACAGATGAAATGCTTTCACGCTTACCCACGTTAAGTCCACATGGTACCACCACACACCTAACCCCTGATGGACAGAGCAATTTAAATCAACAAATCACAGTGAATGGCAAACAGGAGGAGGTGGAAGCAGCAGCCACCATGCAGCTAGAGCACTGCTCTTAAACCTGCAGAGGCAGGCTGCACACAGTGCTGGCTGGCCTGAGTACACACACGCCGCCACCCCAGTCAGTTAGGCACAAAATGCAGTCCTTCCACAAGGGTTTAGGAAAGTGTTTTTTATTGGTTACAATTATTTTAAAAATGTATCACTGGAATTCCCCCATTTTTTCAAGTGCTTGCTAGCAACAGCATAAAAATCTTTTTTTTTTTTTTTTGGGGGGGGGGTAGTTCTTTTTTAATACCTCTGACAAGCTCCAACGACTCATTCCATGCTAGAAGGGGGGGAATGGCAAACACCACTCTGACCTTGTCTAGCTACACTTCATCCCTCTCTTTCTGTGAAGGCTCTAATGGTTCAATCAACGGACAACCCCTTTCGTAAGTCAAATGGTCGGTTTTAATGTTTTCAATTGAATAGTCTTATATCACTCTCCAACAATAAAATAACCAACAGCAAACCAATACAGTATCAACACTCCAAGATTAACAACTCAAAACAAATGACTTTTATGTAAAATGTAAATCACATATAATACAATTGAAGCGTCCAAAACAAATTTAAATAATTTTAAATATTTTATTTTTAAACTGCTACAAATGCTTTATACAATATTCCAACATAAAGTCCCCATAACAGAAATGTAACAAAATGGGAATGATAGTGAAAGGGTTAAAGTGGCACAAATTCACCGAACAAATATTAAACTACAAGTTGTAAGAGGTAGATTACTTTTGAAAGTTGAAAAAAAACCAAAACAAAACCAAAAAAATGATATGAATAAAAACCTAGCTGTTTTCCACCAACTCAATCATTAATTTGGGGGTAGGGGAGGCAGGTGACTGCAAGGAGAAATGAAACTGAGGAAAGAGGCCAATCTGTTGTTTTTCATCAATTAGAGATCAAGTGTAAAACCTGATACACAGTGCATCTGTATTTACGTGTACACATACATCTACACAGGCCCAGGGGCCGTCCTGTACACTGATGCTGCTCCACAGTAACTGATAATATGGTAGTTATAAATTACTGCCAGATAATAAACTGAGAGGATAATCTCCACTTGGATAGATAATCGTGACACTTGGAGAGACATAAAAAAGTTCATATCCAATCTGGTTTCCTCTCCATTATGCTGGCAATCTGCTTGTAATAAAAAAGAAAAAAAGGGGGGGAGGGGGATAAGCTCACTGTGTCTCTTGTCTACAGTTCATGTAAAAGAACCATGTCAAGAGCTGGTGTGAGACCAAAGCATTTTAAAATGAGTGCCGTCCCTGACATCTACCACGAACTACCGATAAAACAGGGAGCAGCTGGCTGTGCAAGGTTGTCTTCAGATCATTCTTTTCTCTATTGTGTACCAAAAGCAAGGGCCCACATGGAGCGGAGTTCCCAGTCTGGTGAGGAGCCAGATCATCTAGCTCACCGCTGGCCCTCCTCAATGGATCCCAGTCTCCCAGGAGCCCAGCTTTGGGGGGGGCGGGGGCGGGGGAGGGGGTAGTGGGCACTGACCACCCAGGGTAGTAAGAAGCCTGCCGGCAATCAGATGGGTGCTAGGATTTGTGAGTCAGCTTCAACTGGTCTTGCAAGCTTGGTAGATTTCATATCCTTTGTCGTAGTGCTTATCCTAAGTTGAGCATGCAATAATCGTTATTTAGTCAATTTAGGTTTGTTTTGTTTTGGGGGCTTTTCTACAGGAAGTTCCTAGAAAATAAGAAAACTGAAGATAAATGACAACATAATAGAACCTTACATGAACTGAGCATGTTAAAGAAAGTGAATAGACCAATAAGACAAACACATGTTATTAAGATAGTGACATAAGGGACTCTGAAGGTACTTGGGGACCTTTGCCTCATACACAAAGGACACACACTGGGAGGAGGTCTGAACTGGGAAGGGGAAACAGAGATGGACACCTGGGGAATCACCATCACTGTATTTGTTCTGGGTCAATTCTTAAGTCAATGAGAAAACTTGGTCTGCACTTCATTCTGAGCCCTTGGGTTTTCGTTTTCTTGATTGGCTGCAAGAGGGACCCCAGTATTGATAACCCATCACACAAGCAAACAATGCTTAAAACGGAGCATTCAGGAACTGATGAGCACTTTACTTAGGAGGCGGCGAGCAGGACAAGAGGCAGGGCTCAGCAGCAGACCTCCGGGCAGTACCAGGCACAAGCCGGCAGGCTCTGGAGGGTACATCTTGGCGCCTCCCTAACACAGAGCCACTGTTCTTGAGAGAACCTGACAGGTGGGTGGGCGGGACGCCCGATTTCCTGGAGACTTTGTCCTAGAAAAAGGATTTGGCGCACATGCCTGTTTCACCGATTTACCCAAACGGCTTGTGCTTTAGGAAATGGCCAGCTAGCGAGTCACTAAGAGTCCAACAGCAGGCTCTGGCTGCAGTCATTCACCTGGTCGACTGCAAGTGCACACTGGGATCCTGAGCTGGCACTCGGTTGTAAAAGTCCTGAGCGCTGTTGGAGAGGGCGGGCAGAGACTGGATTGAAGGGAAGGAAAGGGATGTGCTGCCTGTTCTGAGGAAGTGCTTGGGGCGCAGGGGGAAGTACAGCAGGACCTCTGGGAACAGATCTTTTGAAAGCATGTGTTTCTGAACATGTGAGCGAGGGCTTGCTTCCTGAATAAAATCTTCCCTAAATAAAACATAGTGGAGTAGAAAGATACTGCACGGGATTGAAGATTGCACTTAAAACCACATTCCTGTGCCAGTGGCGCACTGAGGCTGAGGCCTAAGCCATGGCGCTGGCTGGGCACTAAGTGTGCTTGGGCACTCGGAAGGAAACGCCTACTGCTGGCCCAGATCTTCAAAACCCCATTTCCTGTTGGACACGAGTGTTTTGAATCCCAAAACACTTCAGAACTTGATGGGTTGGTAAGTGGGCCCCTCTGCCGTCCACTCATCTGCGATGTGTCTGCCGCCCAGTTCCCCGGGGTCGGGTTGCAGGAAAGGAGGCTTGAGCATCACCTACCAATCAGAACAATACCAATGTTGCCTTAGCTGCAGCTCCCCTGCTCCCCTCAGGCCAACTCTCAAAGTACAATGAGTAAACTGAACAGGAGCAGACCAGAGCAAAGGAACTTTAATTAGGCTCTTTGCTCCTTGGCTGTCCTGAGGGTTCTTCAAACAACACTGCGTTGCTAAGAGGTTAATTAAACACCCTTCACCCTTTCACAGTGACTCCACTTTGAAGGGATTCCTTCAAGGTACTATCAGAGACCCCAAGTGACACAGAGCAAGCTAAATTAGCATGAGGGAGATGCCCTATGGGCATGGAACATCTGGATGGCAGGCCTGGTAAGGACAAATAGGTGCCCAAGTAAAGGACTACAGGACAGGATGCCAGCTCAGAGGATGGTGAACAGGGCTCAGCTTGCCAGAGACCAGATGCTGGGGAACAACAAAGTAACTGAACATCTTGTACAGGTAGGAAGCAGCGTTACTGCACATTCCTACAGTAAACTGCTGAGTTAGGTCTTGGCTGAAGAGTCTCGTCCACATCACCCTTGGGCCTGGGCTCTCAGGCACAACAGCTTCCAGACCTAAGCCGGACCCAGGGGGCGCGAGAGACAGACAGCAGGAAGTCCGAGCACTCAGGCCCTCTTCTGGGTAGCCCTCACTCAACCCAACAGCTCACTCCCACTCAGTCTATCCTGACTCAAAGGGACCCTATAGGGCAGGATAGAACTGCCTCTTAGAAAGCCTTGTTGATCTCCCTCCACAGTGAACCCTAGAGTTCTCATGTGTTCACAACACCCAAGGCTTGTCATATACTAAAATAAAGTCTGCCGTCGGGCAGACAAGACCTGAAAGTATCGTGGAGAAATTCTCTCTCTGGTGGAGCTGCAGGCATTCCTCAGGAAATGGCTGGCATTCCGAGAATGCATATAGACTCTGACTAAGCAAACGTAAGACAGTTTGAGAAGCCAGTGCCAGATTTAAATAACCTCTCACTAAAAGCAGACCTTAATGTGGGACCCTAGATGGAGCACAGCAGTAAAAACACCTCAAACCCAAGGCTAACCGGGGAATCCGAGGCACTGCCCAAGGTAGCTAACATACCAAGGTTGCGGTCTCTCTGCTCTCCCCCTCTTGTCTTATCTATGGATTGGGGGGGGGGGGGGCCTTGTCTGTAGACCTGTGGCTAGAGGCAGGCAGTACCATGGTGCTTTCTTTCAACCAGTGTGGCCAATGTGAACAAGAAAGTACTGGCAGTGAAAGAGGACACTCTTGTGACTAGGGCCACTTTGCGACTGGCACAGAGGCACAGAACAAGGTTGTAACACGGGGGGCTCCTAACCACCTTGGTGCCTCACCACGATCAGGAAACGAGGCAGGTGACGATGAGGTGGGAGAGGCAGGGCACTGGCAATGGAAAGGATTTTATCTTTCTCAGAGGGGCACTGGTGGTTTCAAATTCCATTCACAGCCGATGCCCGCTGTGTGAGTTCTTAGCTGGAATTAGAGCGATTTACGTGCTGCTAGAACCTCCAGAGTGTCAACCCTTGGGGACGCCCACATGCGTGGCAGCTACTGCCTTTGACATGCTGATAGCAAACCCACACAGGAAGAATTACCAGGTTACACTGCCCCTGGGCAAGCCCATCCTGCCCCCTAGCTCTCAGCCCTGGAGGAGACAGCTTACCTGAAGTCCTTGAGCTCCTGCTTGGCACTGCCGTCCTCTCTCCTGCTTTCACTTGGGTCAGCAGCGGCAGCGGCCAGCTGTAGGCTGCGAGTGACTGGGCCCCCGCTCCGCTCCCGAGACTTGACAATGAACCGGTCTGTTCTTTTCTTGCTAGCCACAGCAACCTTGCTCGGCAGCGAGGTTCTGCTCTTCTGGACGCGATGTGGGCTCCGGGACACTTTGCTGGCCAGTTGCGCAGGGTGGTGCTTGGCCACAGCTTTGGGCTTCTTCCCCTCGACATGTGGCATTTTGGCCACTCTTATTGGGCTGGAGTTCCTTAGGGAGGAGGAAGAGGAGGAGGAAGAGGATGAGGAAGAGGAGGAAGAGGAGGAGGAGGCAGAGAAGGAGGCAGAAGAGGAGGAGGTGGAGTTTGGTTTTTTGGACTTCACCGAAGACACAAACTTGACATTCTGCTTGGCCCTGAAGGACGAGGAGGGCAAGGGGACGGGTGTGGGGCCGGTGCTGCGAGCACGGGTCTTGCCCAGAGGGGTCGGCGTGCTCTGCATCTTAATCTCGGCGTCCGCCGTCCGCCGGCGGTGGTGGTTGCTGCTGCTGCTCTTGTCGCTGCTTGCAGGCGAACAGTGTCCACCTTTCTTGGAAGAGTGGGAAGCTCTTTTTTTGGAAGGAGAAAGGGGTTTTTTGGGACAGCTGAAGGCAGCGTGCTTGTTCAGGCTCCCGATGTACGTGAACTCCCTGTTGCAGTACGGGCAGATGTGGGAAGACGGCTCGGACGTGCTCCTGAGGTCAGCCTTCTGCTTGGCAGCCTTGGTTTTCTGCAGGATCGCCTTCTGCACTAGCTGGTTTTTCTTCTTCAAGGCGTTCAACTTCAGCTTATTGGTTGACATCTTACTGAGCTCGACACTGAAGTTCAGCCTTTTGGGCTGCCCCATGCGCCTGAAGGCGTTCTTCCCAGGGTTCTCCACCACCACCACCCCATTTCTGGGTTGCACCGTCTGCTTCAGGGGAACTGGGTTCTTCTTGGGGGTGTACCGCTTCTTGTCACTGGCCGATGCACATGCCAGGATGTGTTTGTGTAGTTCGGGCATGTTGTCCACACCTTTCCCACACTTGGTGCAGCGGATGGCAGTGGTAAACGTCTGTGGGATGTTGTGGGTGGTGAAATTGGTGGCCGTCACCCCAATGCCCATAGGGTTTCGGTGATGGTACTGAAACGGAGGTGGCTTAAAGCTTGGGTAATGCTGGTTGAGACCCAATCGCACATCTGGGTCTTTCGTCTTTATTCCAGAAGCCATTATCTTTATGGTTGTATACAGCTCTTCAGAGGAATCGTTGACCTCCTCCTCCTCCTCCTCCTTAGTTGCTTCGGAAGGGTCTTCTGGCAAGCTCTGCATGTGCTCCGCACGGGCCTTGCTGGGGTCTGTGAAGTTCTGGGGCCGGAGAGTCCCACTCGCAAGCTCGTGGTGTGTGCACACCTTGTCTGGGTGAAGATCTCGCTGGTGCTGCTGCAAATTGCACAGAAACGCAAATTCCTTTTTACAAACAGAGCACACAAAGATATTCCCAACTCCGTGGAGCAAAAAGCGATGCTCTGACAAATTGGTCTTATCCTTAAAGAGCTGCACGCAGAATTCACATTTGAAGGGCCAATCTTCTGCATGAACAGATAGATGTTTGGTTAGGTCTTTAATGGATAGAAAAGGTGATTCACAGACATTGCACACAAAACTTTTGTTGAATGTTTCCTGCACGGTCTCCTGCTTGCCTGACGACTGGGGCTCTTCCCGGGGCTTTGGCTCTTCACTCTCCAACTCTTCCTGCTTGAAGGCTATCATGGGGAGAGAAGCTTCCAGATTATCCCCAGAGGAGACAACAGATGACACCGCTGAGAGAGGGGGTGGAGAAGGGGATGAGGAGGAGGAAGAGGAAGAGAAGGATGATGAGGAAGAGGAGGAGGAAGAAAGTGTGGGAGGCCCAGGAGACGCTGCAGACATGAGTGGCTCCACCGAGGGGATAGGAGAGGGAGAGGGAGACACTGTCGGGGAAAGAATGGGAAGTGGGGACTGTGTGGCGGCCGTGGAGAGAGGAGAGGGGCATGGGCGAGGAGAAGCATCGGAAGAAGGGGCTGGCAGAGGCAGGGGGAGAGTAGGGAGGAGTGGAGGTGGGGGTGTGGCGACAGTTAGGACCGGAGGACAGGGTGGAGGAGAAGAGGGATTTGTGGGGACCAAAAGGGGCGGCAGCTGAGCAGAACAAAGAGCAGCAGCCTGCAGGGTGGGCGATGAAGGAGAAACGTCGGGTGGCGACTGTGCAGTCAAAGCAGATGAACTAGAGTCGGGGCCCAGGTCAGGATCTGGCTGGGGCTCAAGGGATTTACAAGGACTTGGGCTCCTGGCCACCACATCTGTAGTATTTTCCACAGGCAACTCGGTGCCGTTGTACTCGTTGAGAAGAACCTTCTGCAGCATGCAGGTGGTTGGCTTCTTCTTCTTTGTGGTGCTACCGGTCGGCTGCAGTGTGTGGTTCTCTTTCAACTCTCTGCCTTCAGAGTCACCACAGGGCTTTTTGTGCACGCTAAGATCTAGCACAGATTCCCATTGCATGGGAGTCTTGCCCAGGCCCTCGGTTTTCTGCTTGACGCCGCTGGACAGATCTAGGGGCTGCTGGTTGCACACGCTACTGAACGCAGAGCTGGAGGCCCACTCTTTAGCGATTTTATACTCATCCAAGCCTGGGGGGCTCCCGGCTTCTCTCTCATCCCGCCCAGACAGACTCCAGGCCGGTGAGTTGCTGTGGTTTTCTAACTTGGGTTTTTTGGAACACAGGACTGCCTCGGGCCATGCAGCTTTCCCGTCGCCTGGCTTCCCGAAGTCTCGGAGGGCAGGGCTGTGTTGTGGCGAGCTGGGCGGAGAGCTGGTCCGCCGTTTAAACCTACTTGAGGTCACAGGTAACATGGAGGCAGGTGTGGCCACTGAAGGGCCCAGTTTTGGCATCTCGGTTGTGACCATTCCTGCAGGAAGCGTTAATTTTTCTTGAGTTTGAAGCAGCTGCTTGAGTTTGGATGACAAATACACACTTTTCTCCTTGTGAAAGGATACCGCTTCGGTAGCTGATATGCTAAGCGGCAGGTTTAAGGAGCACGAGGGTGCGATGGGATCCGAATCCGTTTCGGCTTTAATTTTGGGCAACAGAGGCGGGCTGGCCGTTCTCCGCTTCTTGGACTCACTGCTTGTGCCGCTGGCAGGCTCTTTGGGGAGGTCCTCTGTTACAGGGGCCTGAGAGGGTTCTAAGTTCTGCGTAATTTCCACCGTCACCGGAGTGAGCAGGCAGTTGATGCTGTACAAGTCAGCCGAGTTAGACTCCATCTCAATCACATCACAGGTACTAGTGCTGCTATTAGTCTGGATTTTACCGTCTATGTAGTAGTTGAGGTTTTCAGAGATATTGCTAGAAACATCCATGATATACACATCGTCTGCTTCCCCTTCCTCCTCGGGCTCTGTGCTCGGGACGTAGACATTCTGGGGGGGCTGCGCCTGCTCTGCTGGGGGCTGGGGCTCTTCTAGGCCTCCTTTTCGCCGCACACCTTTGGGGATCAGGTGACGCTCATGCACTCTGCGCTGGTGCCGCCTCATGTTAGTATGCGTCCCGAAAACCTTCTTGCAGTATTTGCACGGGTGCAGTTCCTTAACTTCCCCATTCTCTCCCACAGTGGAAGGGCTCACTGCTTCTTGGGACGCTCTCTCGGAATTCAAAGCCACACAGTCTTGCCCAAGGGTGAGAGGATTGGACTCACCTTGGGGAGTCACATTCTCTCCAGAGGGTTTGCCTTCAGCAAGGTCTTCGGATGGCTGTAGTGTTAGGCTGGGTTTTCGCTTCAGCCCTGCCTCGTGACGCCGCTCATGCCGCCTCCGGTTAATCTGGGTGCCAAAGGCTTTCCCACAGTACTTGCATTTGAATGCATGATTGACTGTAGACATGTGGATGTGCATGTGACGTTCAAGGCCCTGTTTGGTTGTAAACTTCCGCTCACAGTGCTGACATGGAAACATGAATGTGTCAAATACATCGCCATTGGGTTCTCCTTTAGTTTTAGGGGTCAGGGTTACAGGTGTTACCTCGGGAGAGTCTTCCAAATTTTCTTTCAAAGTAGTTTTTGGTTCTTCTAATAAATCATCCAGCTTTTCATCACACTGTATTTCTGGCTCTTCTTTCAGAGAGCCCTCATTTGGCAAGTCAGTGTCTTCCTCCCCATCGTCTTCCAACTCATCATCCTCATCCTCCTCTTCTTCTTCTTCCTCTTCCTCCAATTCATTCACCTCACTATTTGTGGCTTCTGGCTTCTCATCTGGCTCAGCTTGTAGCTCGCAGGCTGGGGACGGGGCAGTTCCTTCTGGAAGCACGTCCGGACACGCCTCCTCCTCCACCTGAAGCGCCTCGGCTGGCTCAGCTGCCGCGTCTGAGGGCTTCTCGTCCTCGTCTTTAGGACCTAGCAAAGCAGAGGCAGAGGCATGGCAGTGATTCATGCTGCAGATTCAAATGATCGCTGTGAACATGGGAAATGTGTAAGGCCAATTCTCTGGCAGATGGTGGGTTACAAGTTGGGCTGCTAACCACAAGGTCAGGGGTTCAAATCTTGTTGTGAGAAAAGATGAGGTCTTTACTTCTCCTGTAAAGATTTACAGCCTCAGAAACACGGTGGGGAGTGGAGGGAGGGGGGGTAAGTTCTACCCTGTCCTACAGTATTCTTGTGAGTCAGAATCAACGCGGCAGCAAGGAGTTTTGGTTTATGTTGTGTTTTTATAAATAATTTTATGGGGGCTCTTACAGCTCTTAGAACAATCCATACAAGGAGTTTGGTTTCGAGTTTTGGTAAAAGAGATTCTTATTGACAATAAAAAACCTTCCACTTTCTATGGTGCAAAGCAGAAATGAAAATGAAACCACTTCTGCTCGGCACTCGCTCAGGAAAGGAGCGTGTCTAGTGCTCCTCCTGTGCACCAGGAAGCACTGCGGGCAGCCAGCAGACACACCTGAACCAGAGACAGCAATCCCACCAGGAGTGGCGGCCCTTCTTGAGTTTAACCACAAAACAAACTCACTGTCATCCAGTCTATGCTGACTCATAGCGACCCTTCAGGGCAAGATGAACTGCCCCGTGGGTTTCCAAGACTGTAACCACGGCAGCGGGAAGTCCTCCTTTTCTCCAGAAGAGTGGCCGGTGGTTTATAACTGCTGGTCTTAGTTAGGGTTAGCAGCCCAAGGCATGACCACCATACCACCAAGGATCTGACAGCCATACGCACAAGGGGCTTCGCAAAAAAATTATTATTTTTAATTCCACATTTTCCACCATGTTTGAAGAGTCCTTGCATATAAAAACCTCTTAAAAATGCAGTTCCTCCAATGGGGCTGGAGTAGCTGATATCAAATTTTAGGAAATTAGTTGTGAATTTGATTCCAAAATGAAACAAGGAAATTGCTACAATATTACCAGCTTAGATTCATAGTAGTCCATCCTGACTGGAATGGAATGATCCACTCCATCCTTCCTGATTAAAATGATGGAGAAGCTGGAATGTTTTCCAAAATTAAGTAACAGGCATTGTTTCATGTGAAATAAACTTTAGAGATGCTCAGGAGCCCCTCAGCAACAGACCTGGAAAGTCAAACCCCAAAGTCACCTCTGGTCTCTGGGCCCAGGCTGAAGTAGACGGCAGACACCTCTGAGCAGCGGAAGCCAAGCCACAGCTCACTGCCATCAGCTGGATTCTGACTCAGAGGGGACCTATCAGAACAGAACTGCTTCTGTGTTTCCGAGGCTGTAAACCTTTACAGGAGCAGAAAGCCTCAGGTTTTCCCTCAGAGACTGGGGCTTTGAAATGCTGATCCCTACAGTTAATTGGCCACCAATGCAGACCCACTATGCCAGAAGTGAGGAGAGTGTTAGGTGTGGAGAGCAGAAAGAGTAAGGCTCCCCAGTGTGGGAGGCGGGGAGGGAGCAGGTACCAGAGGGGTCCAGCAGCCAGCTGGCTCACAGAGGACCTTGCAGGGCTTTGGCCTTTCCTCTGACCGACACAGAGAAGGGGTGACAACTTTTAACAGGAATATTATTATGAACGGCCTTATATTCAAGGGCCATGCTGAGTGCAACTGCTCCAGAGACATGGATGGACAGAGAAGTGTGTTAAAAGTCTTTGGAGAACACAGGGCTTTCTAGTCCCATAAGCATTACAGTGCCGGAGACCCAAAGGGGCAGTTCTACCCCGTCCTCTGGGGTCGCAATGAGTCAGAATTGATTCCATGGCAGGGAGTTGGGTAATTTTTTCCCAGTTTCATTAAAAGTCCTGGTAACCTGCCTAGAGAGAGAGAGACAGACAGACAGAGACACACACACACACACACACACACCAGCCTTTAACTGTTTAATGGGAATAGAAAGCCCAGTCTTTCTCCCTTGGAGCTGCTGGTGCTTTCAAACTGTTGACCAATCGGACCGCAGCTCAGTGCATAACCACACCACCACCACCAGGGCTCAGATACCTAGATAGAGGGGAGAAGGAAGGACCAAAAAGCTCACGTGTTCCAAGCTCTGCAAATGCAAGGCAGTCTTCCTTACTTAAGGGTTCTAAGGAATTTCCCATCTCCTACTATACTTACTAGGAATGAGGTTTCTGCTTCTAAATAGAAACCAGCTTTCTCTCTCTCCCCTAGACAAAATTTCATAAATTCCATGAGTTTTCCACAAAGCGGGCAACCAGTTATTCGGTGGTGATAATGTATTTTCAATTAGGTGCTAGCTTACTTTCAAGTGTATTTTCAACAAAGACCCAAGATTTTGCCAAAGAAAGATAAGATGAGACAACAGGAAGTGAAACCAGCACCTCAGAGGCTCACAAACTTCTTAATGGAGTCACCTTACCTTTAGCCAAAATGCGGGACTAGGGTACTGGGGGTGTGGGTATGGGTGTGGATGGAAATGTCTTCCCTCACCATTGGTAAACAATCCCAGACTCTAAACCGTCTCATAAGAACCAAAATGTGCACGGCTCTATTATTACTGCGACCCACAACAAAGTGAGTGCGCACATGGAACGAGGCCTGTGGGGAAAGCAGCACAAAAGCACCTTCTGGGGAACACAAAGAAGAGGCTTTGCTCAGGACGTACGAATGTTTGCAAATGTCAATCTGGGTCATTCCAGAAAGGGGCAGGCCAGCAGCTGCATTCTACACAGAACCAACATCAGTTTGACCAACTGTGCCACAGAAGCAGTTGGCAAACACCTCTTTCATGGGGCTTCATGCTGCTAACTGCAAGATCGGCAATTCAAGCCCACCAGCTGCTTCAGAGGAGGAAGACGAGACTGTTTCCATAAGAATAAACACTCTTGGAAACCCTAACGCAAGTCCACTCAGTCCTATGGGGCTCTGCGAGTTGGAATGGACTCACTGGCAGTGAGTTTGAATGTCCCATCAAGAGAAAACGAATCACTTTGGATGACTCGGGTGATTTAGGGGACAGCTAGTTTTTATTTTTATAAACAATGTCAGCAAAGGCAGCAAGATGCTTTAGTAACTGCTGTTCAGATGACTCTTAGTACATCATCTACTGTTAGCAAACACACTAAGTTTTTAAGGCCCTGGGAAATAAACTTAAGTGCTTCAAGATAAAAGTCAGTGGTTTGACATAGTAGCGTCTCAGCCTCTTTCAGTAAAGATTATTTATAGCCTTGGAAACCCCATGGGGAAGTTCCACTCTGTCCTGTAGTGTTGTCTGTCTTGTTCTTACTTCATAAAGTGGGATAGAAAACCACAATCTTTCATGAATCTCATCACCCAGTAAGCCCACAGCTGTCATTTTCAACCCATAACGACCTGTACGACAAGGTAGAGCTGCTCCAGACAGTTTCTGAAATTGTACATCTGTACACAAGCAGACTGCCTTATCTTATTCCTGTGGCTCAATCAGTGGGCTGGGACCACTGACCTTCTGGCCAGCGGTGCAACACTAAACTCACTGCACTACAAAACAGTTAGTGAATAAAATGGCTGTAATAACCACCCAAAATATGTGACATTTTTCCCTCTGCGGAGTCTTCTTGAAAGAGTTAGAGCATGTCTTTTGTAATTTGCCTACTGTGTCACCATGAACTCTTTCTTGATCAAGGTTTAGTCTCTGCATAAATTTACCACTTAAATTAAAATGTTTTCCTCAACTCTAATAATACCAATTGACACTGTGGCTCAACATAGGAACCTCTTTGCGAGCATGGCACAATACCGGGAAGTTCTGGTTCTGTGGTGCACCGAATCTCTATGGGTCAGAACCAACTCGATTGCAACTACCAACAACAACAGTATCATCAATCTCTTGATCCATGGCTCAGCAGCAACGAACAGACAGTAGTCTGTAGTTCTGATCAGAGGAAGCCTGGAATATTGATCCCCGGGAAAGGGTTATTTGAAAAAATATATTGTGGTTCTGCAGAAACACAAGGAGATAGGATAAGAATATAAATTCTAAAATGTAAAATACTTTTCAGACCAATAAATAAAATCAAAAGTGTTTGGTAAGTTTTAGAGTACAATTTTAACTGAAGTGTAAAGCACACACAAGGAGCCCAGGTGGTGTGATGGTTAAGCACTCAGCCATTAAACTAATAGCGAGCAGTTCAAATCTACCCAGTGGCTCTGCAGTGAACCAAAATGTGTGTGTCACACACACAGACTACACAACTCAGGTAAATGGCCTGGGGAAGTTCTACTCTTGCCATACAAGGACCACTATGAGTTGAGTCAACTCAGCGGCCTGCATCAACACGCATGGCCACAGCAAAGTGTACAAATGGTAAGTGTATACGGTGAGATAGGTCTTTACCGAAGACACTGAGTGATGGAACACTGCCAGCATCCTGAAACCTCCCTTCTGTCAAGCCAGTCCAAGCCCTGCCACGAGTGGTTTGTTCTGAACTTTATGTTCTTTATTAATGCAGATAGATATACACTGTCTCACTTTAATAAGAGACTTGTTTCATTTTCAACAAGAAATCCCTTGAATAACTTTTTGAAGAGGAGATGCAATGGGGCTTAGGACTCAGGTATCAGATCCCCTTTAGGTGGTTTGTTGTTTTAACCCCCTGTAGTTCCTGGATGACTGTGCCAGGTCCATTAGTTGACCCAGAGTTACATGCCCTGGCCACACGCTCAAACCCTCCAGGGTCCAGCAGCCCCGCTTACCTTCTGCAGACTCTCTCATATTCGCAGGGGTGGAATCTGGCTCACTCGGCTTCTGCTTTTGGTCTTCGCTTTTGCTGCTTTTGCTTCTATTTTCCTGGGATTTTTTCTTCCCTGCAACACAATATTCATCCATTCATTCATTCTGCCATTCCCCATTATCCTGAATTCTTAAAGGAGATAACTATTAATCCAATCACAGCAAACCATGTGTCTCTAGGCAATTATCACTTCAAACCTATAGCTATCAAACTTCAGCTTCAGAAAAGATGTGCTAGCAAATTGAACATTAATGGCAAAGAAAAATTCGACCTAACAGCACTGAATGCAGTTGTCTCTAAGTAATAGGGATGTGGCAGAAGTCTGGTTATTTGTAAGAAGCATGTTCAAAAGAAACAACAGGGTACACCAGGACTCCTTTTAGTTCTGCTATGATGAACCCTAATTGCCAAAGAGAACCACCAGCAGCAGCAGCAGCGACTCTTCTGAATTGCAAGAGGCACGCATGCACAATGGCTCCACTGTGCAACGCGGGACCCACTGCATGTCCAGTACAATTCAATATTTCATTAACAATCCAGAGGACGGAATTCAAGAAACACTAATTGCATTCCAAGTGATAATACACTTTAAAATATTAAAATGCATATTAAAATGCACATTTTAATCTTATCAGAACATATTTCTGATAAGCTGCAACAATGAACTAACTAAATAAAATCACCTGATACTCAACAAAGACAATCCTCCACAGAAATACAGATACTGATGGCTCAGAAGCTCAGTCTCTTCAGGCTGTTGCCACTGTTTAAATTCCCAGTGTCTCCCCACCACCACCCCACCACCCAGTAGCCTGGGCTCTTCAGTCTTCACATTCATGCAGGCTCCTACTCAACTTCCCTTCCCGCTGCCCTTTCCGCAATGCTGTCCCCAACCTGACCTCCAGGGGCTCCCACAGCTGCCCCTGCCCTTCCCGCCTCCTTTCTCCAGGAGCTAGGAGAACAGCAAACTAGAAACAACGCACAGCCTCTCTAGACCTCCTGAAGGGCGACACCCTCCCAGGCCGAAACGCTGCAGAGGAACAGAACTGTAAGACGGTCAAACAGATGAGAATGAGGTCGGAGACATAAGACATGACTGAAAAAGGATTAAGCACAGGAACGTCGGTTCCAATTCAAAGCAACTGAAAACCCTAAACACACCTGAAGGTTCTGATAAGCACTTAAGCGATGTATAACAAGAGTGGGTGGAGGCAGAAAGTACTTGTAGTCATTTAGTTTGTTAGTTTTGAAAAGCAAACAATTCCAAAATGCCATTTGTTTCGAAATACTTATTCTTCAGCCTGTAAGAAAACAGGTGTTGTATTTTGTTCTCGTTCACAGAAGTTCTTAACAGCCTATCACTGAAAGGCAGGAAGGGCGGGGTCTGCATGTGTTTCACTGGAAGCTACTGTACACAGACAGCAACAGAAGTCCAGGGCTGGCACCTCCAGGTGGAAGAATGAACATGAAAACACCTTTTCCCATTGGCAAATGAGGAGGAGCTGAGGCACTTACTGACGAAGATCAGAGACTGCAGCCTTCAGGACACACTTCAACAAACAGAAAACAAACCCCGCACGAGTGAACCAGTCTGCAGCATCGGGGTGAAAGATGGGAACTGCTGAGGCTGCCATTCTTCTTGGGTCCGCAATCAGCAATCGTGGCATCGGAAGTCATCAAAGGGCACTGCATGGGGCAAATCTGCTGCACCAGACCTCTTTAAAGTGATTTTTAAAAAAGCGGCCACTGAAGACGAGGTGTGCCTGATCCCAGTGTTTCAGTCGTCTCACAGGCACAGGAAAGATGGCCAAAAGGAAAGGTGAAGAATAACTGATGCCTGTGACTGTGGTACTGGCAGAGAACTCTGAATATACCACAGAATGCAAGAAGGGACAATAAGCCTGTACTAGAAAACCATGTGACCAGGACCATCTGCAGCAGTTAAGGGGGTCATCTTCTCAGACTTTGGTCATGGAGTCAGGAGGGACCAGAATACTTGCCTTGGTGAAGCAGCCCAAACACGACAAAATGCACTGCCATCGAGTCCGCTTGGACTTAGTCAGCAGAAACAACAAACTGAACAAGAGGGAGACTGATCCTCAATGTGATAATCAACAGGCTTAAACACAAAACCAACAGCGAGGAGGGCAAAGACCAGGCGGTTTTCATTCTGTTGTCCAGGGAGTTTCGATGAGTCCTGGTCAATTGGCCTCTTCCAATCCCCTCTCCGTTTGCCAACTTTACTGTGCTTGGTCTAAATGGGAAGACAAGTCTCGAGGAACTTAGTGGGCTTAAAGTGGGTGATGTTACTTTCAAGGAATGTGGATGTTACTTCCCTTTAAGCAGCTTTCTTATCCCCAGAATAACAGTCACCTCTGTGAGTTTGGCCCTAGGACTGCTGATATATACAACAAAGTGCTTCACACTCTTGCACACATAATGTGATTATCAATGATCACCTGACTGTCTTAGTGCTAACAGATGATGTTCAAGGAAACCCACAGGCTCCGTTATTGCCACCACTTAGATTCTTAATTCAGGTTTTATAAAAAACATCTTTTCCCTGGGATAATTTCAACCACCAAATCCCTAAGACATCAGTGCAAACCCTTTAACACCCCAAACAAGCCAAAGTGACATTTTCTTACTGAGCACTGTGTACACAGTGCAAACAAATCTGTAGAAATAAAAGTGAGGTATAGCCTAAACCTCATCTCTTATGCATACATCTTAAATACATTTAAAAAAGAAAACAGGTCACATTGCAAAATTTAAAAGGAAGTCAGTTTGCTGTAATGTAATCCCTTGCAAATGCAATTTCAAACCAGTAAGATTTTTTTTGATAACCTCTCAAGAGCTATGTAAACTCAAACAAAAGTAAACAGGCCTCCCCTGTGTAAAAAGAGTAGTAAGTCCATTGGTGACAACTCTGTGGTTGTAGTGCAGTAAAACAAAGAGCAACTTTAACCATGCCATTAAGATGCAACCGAAATAAAATCACATTATCCAAAAGTGCTATTTTAAGCCTAATCCTTGCCTAAAAGAATATTAGGAAGCCAGCTGATACAGAATGTGGAACGTGTCAGGGACTTGGGAGTGAACTGAACATTCATGGGAGGTCACCGCACCAGAAGCCAGCCCTTCTCTCGGGGGAGCCTGTCCTGTGCACTGTAAAGTGGTGAGCAGCATTCCTGGCCTCTACCCATCAGATAGGCAGAAGCCACCCTCTGCCCCCTGCAGTGTGACAACCAAGATCCTGCAGGCATTGCCAAGTGTCTCCTGGCGGGTGAAACCACCCTGGGTTGAGGACCTCTCAGCTAGACCAATGTGTTTGTAGGTCTCTGAAGACCTACAGACTCTTCTGCAGCCTACATACACATTCATTAAAAATCGCAATTCTACTAGCTAAGGGATGAAACTATTACATTCCTCCCAAGTTAGTCGAGTGAACACCAATCAACTTACTTTACCATGGAACCAGGTAAATCATGAACCTAGCCACCATTCACTCATGGAATTGAGAATGCCTGGCACATAACACCGTTTCTTCAATCTTAACTAGAAGCATCTACTACTCAGGTTACTTCCCCTTAGACTAGAGATAGAAGGAGTATAGAAACCACCTGTCCTACTTGCTCCTTTTGCAGGAGACAGTGAAAGTCAGTTCAGATTAGATTAGATTAGATAGATAGATAGATAGATAGATAGATAGATAGATAGATAGATAGATAGATAGATAGATAGATAGATAGATAGATAGAAGTTTGTTCAAACTCACTCCATCAGTCTGACAGAACCTATCGCCTATGCATGTGCACAGTGCTGCTCACAAACCCAATCGTTGTACTTTCATTTCCTTACTCCTTTCAGTAATATTTCTTCCCTGACACTTGGTTTCTGTTCTGCATGTAGTCCAATTGGGGGGAAAGAAAAAAAAAAGGTCAAAAGCAAGCCTATAATGACTTCGTTTTTGGGGTGGTGGTGGTGGTGGTTGGCAGACTTGTCAGTATCTGAGGCAAGAGCTGCCTCCAGAACTGAACTTAAGGGGGTGGGGAGGTGCAGAGAAGCCTCTGGGAGCCTGGTAAGTACACGTGTGCACTTACCATCAGGTTCCTGAAGGGTCCTACATGGCGGCTACTGCCAGTTGGCTGCTCCGCTTGGTCTAAACAAGAAAGATACAGGAATGAAACACACGGAAAGTGAAATGGAAACAATGACAGAGACTAGAATGAAGGACAGGGCATGATCATATGTATCTGAGGAAAAGAAAGGAACACATAAAGATGGAGAAAACGGAATGAAACAGAAGGAAAACAGCATTACTCCTGCATCAAGGCTCTCATGGAGAAAGTAACTGTTGATATAAGATCAATAATTACACTCATTTTCCACCCCAAGCCACGCCTGGGTTGTACCACGGGTGCCCTTACCACTCAGTCCCACTCTGCTTATAGTCACAGGGCTTCTCCAGACGTGAGAGCCCCAATCCTCACCTCTCACCAGACAGAGCAGACACCTGAAGACCAGACGTGGGGAGGAGACTGGCCCCGGTTGCACAGCTAAATCTGCACAAGAGCAGAAGGAAAGCCAGTGACCACACAGTCCACTCACTCAGTGCTCTCTTTACTGCACTTCTTTCTTTCTTAGGACCAAGAATGGTTTCCTAAGAATACCCTAGTTATTTCTTTTACAAAGCACTTCATATCCTTTATTGCATTTGGTTTCAATAAAAGTGGTAAGAAGACTTCAACTGCTGTTAGAGCCAAGAAACAACAAATTGGAATGCAGATTTCCCTTCAATTTTATCTTGAGCCAGAATCCGTTAATAAGCACAGAATGAGCAAATATGCCCTTAAGTCAAAAAGCACTGCTACGAACCCCACTGAAACTGTTATTAGATACCAAAATGTGAAGCTATTGTTTCTCCACAGATCCTCCGTTTAGGTCTCTACAATTCTCACGGTGAGTTTCTCAGCTCTCTAACCATTCCCTGAAGAACCTGGAGCTCTTCAATGTCAAAATGGCACTTTCACCATCCCTGAAGGGCTCAAACCATGTTCCCTATAAATGGCC